ATTATATTAATCAAACTGATATTAAAGAAGACTGCAATAAATGAATAGGCAATAACTGACATTTCAAAAGTATGTTGAAATATCAAATGCAGTAGATTTTTAAAATAAAAATATACATTATAACTGGTATTTTTATTATTATTTTTTTTTTTACATAAAATAATTTTAAATTAACTTTTGTTTTTTTTTTTGGGGCAAAAACTGAAGAAATTTAAACAAAATTTGACCTTTTTTGCTTGAAACAAAGAACCAAATTTTTCTATGAAAGCAAATTTCTTCTTCTAGAAGTCTTCAACGTTGTAAAATACATTTTTTTGTGATATTTTCAACGAAGTAATGAGGAATTTTTAAATTATTTTTTGTTACAAAAGCACATATTGTATATTTTGGATTTGATGTTTGCATGTTGTTCTTAAATCAAAATTCAATATAAAGCTGACTGAGGGTGAAAAAAACATTTTTTTTGTATTTTAGAATTAATTGAAAAGTATTATTTGAAAAATATAATTCCTCTATGGGATTTTTTAAGCTTATAGAGATTGACTGAAATGTCCAATTGGTTCATAGTTTGCAGTAGTTGAAATAATTTGCCTAAGTATTAAGCGTATTCGGCCAACAACCATTAATAGTAGGTGTAGGCGTTACGATTCGCTACGCCAAAAAAGCTGTTGCAAACAAAAAAATTATACATATTTAATAGTAATGCATCTATCACAATCAGCCAGTAGCTATGTAACTTATGTAAAAAAGAAGGTGAAAGCTCTGGTACACTAAAACTCGCACATACAGTTCAAGCAGCTGAGGTTATATTTAAACCAACTACCGACTAGCAAAAAAAAATGTCAAATGTAACCTTCAAATTTCTTAATCGACCAACGTCGTTAACGATTAAAAAAGATATTACAATAACAACAAATAATAATAATTATTTATATCCACTTAACTCGCATAGGAGTGATATCCACGTGAAGTCAAAACACAATAAACTATGTCGTAAAACGAAATAATCGTTCTGTCGAAAATCCTTTTACGATTTTGTACTTGTTGACGTCACGTCATTGGGGGAAGGGGAAATCAGGAGAAGGTAATGTTACCCTTAAGGCTTCGTTGTGTTTAAGTTTTTACAACCTAACCAGAGACGTCCTACGGTGGGGAGTACTATTTTGACAATAGCACACATTAACTATGTTTGACTAAAACGTTTTTTTTTTTTTTAATTTCGAACATTTCGACATCGATTTCGTAGATTATGTTATGATCGGGAAAAAAAAATACAAATATATTCAATCGAAAAGGTAATGAAACGACAATGCGCGTTAATTTAAATATAGCTTTTTACAACAAAACGGTCAATGATTGGAAAACAGCGTGAACCCAGGTCGGGTCAAGACCTCATGAACACAATGTAGGGGGTCACCTCCAACAGGCAACATAATAATATTAAGTAGGTATGTGATATTGTCGTCGTGTCGGTGTCGTAATCAAAATGGTAGATACAATGTACAATATTATTATATGATAGTACTGTACGAAACATATTTATTGCCATTTATTGCCGGTATTGATTTTTTTGAGTAAAATATTAATTAATTTTGTTTACAAAAAAATTAAAAATTGTATAGAACATTACAAACTTTATATTGTGTAAAAAAAGTGTTTTAAAGCGTCTTGTATATAAATAAAATAATCCTTACGGAAAATACAAACTTTAAAGGTAATTTTCAAAAAAATGAGATTCACCTTAGCCACAGATATTGCGCTAACGGGATAACGTTGAGATACGATGACCGAGATTAAGTATTAGCCGTTTACATATTATGTACATAATCATACATATATTAATACATAAATATGTATGTACATTATCCACTTGCATAAGTTAACAGCACAACCTTAGCAGACAATAATGCTTATCCAACAAATTTGTTGGACATTGTTGGAGAAGAACGAAACTTTGTTGGACCTTATTTTCGACACTAAGAGCTTTTTTACGCTAGCAGCACAACTTTTTGTTGGCTAATTTTACAAAAATATTGTACTTGACTTCTTGTTGGACATTGTTGGAGTTTTTTCAAAGGAGTATATTATCCTACTCCTATAGAAGCCAATGGTGTTATTAATCATTGTTCATTATGTTCATCGACGACTGCCAATGTCAAACCGGCGCGGCGTTGAGTACAATAATAATCATAAAAACGCAATATAAAACGCTAATTTACAAGAAAAAAATATTCTGTACATATTATACTGTTAATGTTTCTGACTTTGATTGTTTACAACGTCTTGGCCGATGCGAAAACAGCGTTAGGCCAGATTGGCCAAGTCCTTCGAATGCAAAACAAAAAAAATGCCCTTGGTGTCGAACACACCGCTTGTAAAAACGTATCTAGTCGAAATGATTGCCATCGTCGCAACACGGATAAGGTACAGTGAGTTCGAGATGATCCCCAAGATAAAAAATGTGTGCTCTATAGTATCCATCGAATGAGCGGTTACACGTTTTTAACGCCAAGCGGTTTCCACGTTAAAGTCCGGGTGCGTCATATGTCACAAACGGATTTCCCTCTTGGGAGTCAACGCGTGTGACGTAGGCGTAAGCATGTATGAGCATATTAAACCAGAACCGGAGACAACAATGTACACAAAATCTAAATGACCTAAGTGTTTTCCTGTTAGGTCGAGTGCAGAATAAATGCATCGTGTGCATATCACAAAGAAAAGAAGCTCGGTCAAGACTATCTGAATATGACTGGTTAAATACTCCCAAGTATTATAAACAGACACAAATCCAGAGGGGCCACCAAAGGGGCTTTAACCTCCCCCCATCGGTATCAAAGTTATGAATTTAAAATATAATAGCATACGATACTTCCAAGTTCTAGAAAAATGTCTTTATTTTCATAATTGAATTATTTTTAACAATACAGTAAATAAAATTGATATTAGATCTAAAAGAAATTAGGAAACCATGTTTTTACTAACCTCGATCAATCTTAGACCGACGCCCGATTATAAATAAGTAAAATGTAATTAGAAAAGACTAAAATCTATCTAATATCTATAATAGAATAAATAAAATTGAACGGTGGGCAGATAAAAGGAAATAAGTGAATTTTAGGCAAATTGAATCAGACAACTAAACATATGTAAGCTAATACACATACTATACATTATGTAAAAAAATGATATTTCCACGGCAAAAATCCAAAAAGTTATTAAGAGTTTATAAAAAATGTAACATAGAACTTAATGGAAAATAAAATGTTTAAAGCTCATTCTACGAATGACTACCTTTTGACTTACTCCATTTTACCCTTCTATTAATATTATTTTATTATCAATAATAATTTTTTAGAATATTGATCAATCAAACATCTATCAGAGGTATTAAATTTGTTGAGATAAGAGTAATGAGGGCCCATAATTGCATACACGTATAATTTATAACATGCTTTTTACAAAACGCAAAATTGGACCCGTGTCAGTCTCATCAATTGACAATTGTATCAATAAGACTTTGATACTGGCAATATGATATGATACTACACTACTGTAATATATTACAATACTATACTAATACTGTAATTATATGATATTACACTACTTACGATGCCTATTATCGCATTAACATGTACAAAATTGAAAATTATATTTTCAAAATCAACCTTCGAAACGCGTGATGGTCTTGCGTTCATGACACAGTGAATAACGTTGGGTATAATTTATAAACGTAAGTACAGTTATCAAGTTTACAGTCACATCGCTTGTCTACCTATTAGTCATTAGGTGCCCATACATCATGACCATGATCGTTTTGGTATTTAATCCCAAACTGACATCCACGTGTTGGTTTTCTGGAAAAGTCCTCGAGAAAATACAAGATCACAGTGAAACGCGAAGGTTAGAACAAGACAATAGGAAGACGTTTATTGTCTACTTGCTTGCGTTATGACTTCAACTATGGATCGATAAAGTAACGTTGGTACGCTTTTAAAGTCCTTTATGTTAATAATGTGTTTCCAACAGTAATTTTTGGGCGCACATATGGCAGTCAAGTGTACAAACAAAAATTTTGAAATATAATCTATAGTACACATTACTCGCATATGTAATGTTTTTTTGTAACATTTTGTAGACAAACATTAACGTAGTTCTTTGTAGCTAATTATGTGGTTTTTTTTGGTACTTTGTCATTAACCACAAAACACTGCTTGTTAATAATGTAAATTACTTTTTATTGCGACAGTCGAGATAATAATATAAGGAGCTCACTTATATCCTTATAAACAAATTAATAACAACAACATAATTTTGTCTAGTTAAGTGTAAGTTAAGTTTCCAGCGAAACCGCTAATATCAAATATTACAATAAAAATATAATGCAATTAATGTTGGCTAAAGATCAAATAGACATTCAAATAATTATTACAGTCTTAAGTCCCGAGTGGAACTCAAATATTTATTTGAATTTTAAAATTGCCGGGAACTTCTCATACTAGCTGATAAAAAAAAAAAAATATATTACTAAAATAAAATATCCACAATACTGTCATAATAAAATATGTAGAAAATAATTTTAGTTCTAAATTAAGTTTTTCCAATAAATTCATTGTTTGCGTCGAATGTGTTGAAAAATAGTAACTGTGTAATCATTGAAACTTTCAAATATATATTATGCGAATTTTTTCATCATACCTACAGTGAAGTTTAAAAACATCCGAGTCCTGTCTACAAACGTATCGCGCGACGTCCTACGCTAAGGTTACAATATCCGGACAAAAAACGCACACATATACATTATACCGTATTTAATGTTTACTGTTTAGCGTTTACTATATCAGATGACCGGGTACCATTTTACATTATTCGCTGCCGTATTAGTGTGTTAAGGCCACCGTCGCCTAAATTTTTGTGTTTTTTTTTTTTCTCTTCTTTTTTCGGAGGGAAGGGAACTGTGTCTGGCAGCGTGCGTTTCGGGTAGCCGACCGAATCCACGTCGCCACGACCCAAGACCGCTGCATCAGTTCGCACGGTGTCGGACTCTCCGGTTAACGTTTGCCATACGCGAAAGCAAGTTCCGTTCGCCGCGCTTGTGTGTTCGTTTCGTTTGGTTTATTTTTTACACTTTTTTATCTTCTTCTTTTGTCGGCACCGCACTCGCGTTTCTAATCCGATCGCCATGTCTAGAAGGACGGACTTGGACTTGAGTGACGATCAGAGGTTCGCTCTGATGAAAGTAAGAATTTCATGTTATTTTCATCTATACCTTTCTTTGGCCGAACTATTTTTGAGTTTAATCTACAAGCGGCATATTTTGCTACGAACAATGTTTCGCTAAACATCGTGTTGGTTTTAGTATTTGATTGTTTTTAAAGAATGTTACGTTATTACTTACTATTAATCAACTATAGTATGTTGTCGTTACTCGATGACATTAATTATGGACGCGGGTAAAAATAATCATTCCTTCACGTTTGTTTTATCTTTAAAAACAACAACACCAACACTGGAGATGAAAATATACCTAATAATATTGATTGGAGTTACCAATATTGGGTAATATTGCGGTCACGTATTATGATGTATTATTATATATTGTATAAATATTGAAAATAAGGCTTTCAGCCAATATTGCTCTAAATAACGCCCTTAACCCCCTTTTCGACTCAGTTTAAAAATATTTTTAATTGCTTAACATTATTATGATTATTGCCGAAAGATGTTTTTAAAATAAACAAAAAACGTTTGTTAAAAAAAAAGTAGAACATAAGCAATATCAGAAATAATAAACTTAGTAACTAAGAACCGAGTATAACTCAGTATTCATTTTAAAACTATAAATTCGAATATTCATAGCGAATATCGACGTTACTTATTTGCTCGTGCAATGGACTGTAAACTGTCTTCGCTTTAATGACTCGTATTATACAATAATAGTTCGCTCATTTTATGGTCTATGCTAGCAATTAATAAATGTAGTGTCTTTTACACTACGTAAAGGTATAGGTTTTTATATTATGTAGGTAATGGAATTTAGTCCCACGGTTAACGATTATGCCTAGTTAATGTATCACGTTTTGTTTGCTTGTTTGTACAACGAAAATAAAGGTTGCAAAATTTGTGAACTAAAAACTTATCTATCAAAAGACAAACCAGTGAAAATTCCAAGCTAATTTTTTTGTTTTATGGGAAGTCAACAATTCTTTCATGAAATTATTCTTTCAAACATTTTTAAAATCCACTAACATTTTGTAGAGTTTAGTGACTTAAACTTTAATTATTATATAGAAAACCTTTAGATCAAGTAATAATTATTTAATTCATTACAACACAAATGATTACTCTTTGGACTATGAGACACACGGAGTGCATAGTAAGGCTTCTCATCAAAAGGTGTTTTTTTGGTTAGTATTATTGCAACTATTAAAAATAATAAATAAAACGAATAAAATATAATACACGATTTTATTATCATAGTAATAAATGATTAACTAAACAAAATTGAGCATAATGTCAGCATGTCGATAAAATAAACATCTTATTGCAATCTTGGATTTTTAGTTCATACCCCATTTATTTAATACTTCTCTGATTCAATTACACCATTAAACATTTATATTTAGCTACTTCCTCTGTCTCAAGTTCCCTCCACATTCATTTTTTACAATGCCCTTTACTGCTTCATCGTTCTGTTGCTTGGCTCTTCATGATACGTCCAAATCACACAACAACAACTTTTTCTTTGTTTTCGATAAATTATTTATTTATTGATTTTTTACAAAACTATATAATTGTTTATCATTGTTTTTAATAACATTGCTTTTGAGTGATCTAATTTCGTGTTGATATCTTCTCGGTCGATCTCACACGTGACTTAGACAGTCAACAAAAATATTCGCCGAGCTACAATTATATAAGTACCTTAGTTTTAATTAGGAACCATAGCCGTTTTGTTTCCATCACTACTGAAATTTTGATCTGCTGTTGCGAACAACAACATTACTTTATAGTTCATCCGAGCCAGCAGACCAGAAATACAATATGATGTACAAACTTTGACGTTCCGTTGCCTACCTACTTACACTATATTTTATTAGGCACTTTACACCGTGTTGCTACACTGTGTTTACACGGTATAACATAAAGTAACATGATTGTTGCACGTCGTTGGCGTTAATTCCCTACTTGTCATTAGAATCAAAAGCGCTACGTGGATTTACTTGGAAATCACCGATTGTTTTTTAATACGAACAATAGGCTTTGCAAACTCCATAGAAATTAGTTATTGCATTTTTTAGCTGGTTAGTAAGACACCAATTATTATTGGTGTTTAAACGAAATGAGTCAACACCGTCTTATCCCTTTTTGCGGTTATTTGCGACGAACTAGGCTGGGTAAGGTCTTGTTTGCCACAAGTACAATAACCGTTAGTGCGATAATAATAATTGTTGTATTATAAGCGAAAATTGCATGGGACACACCTTTCTAGCAGTGTGTTTTCAAAACGTTTGCCGTCTGCTGTTGAGGTAATAAATGTCGCGACCACTGTGTGTGGACAATAATCAGGACTTAATGACCAAAGCATAACGTACTTTGCTGGTCGCAAACGCTTTACGTTAGGTTTGATGAGTTCACAATTTACCCCTTAAGAGTTATGAGCACCCCACTCCCATCAATCCCATGTCGTAATCGTATCAATTTGATTTTTAAACTGTCTTTTACTTTTGAGTAGGCCCAAAAGCTATTGGTCGACGGTTATAACTTATAAACTCTACAGAACGCCACATTAAACATTTGAATAATTAAATTAAAAAAAAATAAACGTGAGAGTTTATTATTGACCGATTAACGGTAAACCACGATTAAAACGTTGGTAAAATCGAGCATTAAACCAAACTAAATTTAGCCAAACTGGTAAGAAAGGTCATTTTAACAAGTATTTCAAATACTTCAAATTCCAAAACATTTCGTTGAATAATAAATAAACAGTTCTATTAGCAGAATTCTAATCATTTTTATACAAGTACATAATATATTAATTTAGAATCATTGGCACTCTAGACACACTTCTTTCGTTGAATTTTTGTGTAACATTACTCTAAAGAGGCCGATTATTTCATTTCATTTAATGTACTGGTCTCACCTTACACAGACAAGTTATACGTTTTTTTAAACAAATTCACATTTTTTATCATTTTTAAAGCAAGTTTGATCTCAACTAAGTATTATAAAATATCAACCCATGCGTTCCATCATAGATAGTCCCATCCACGTTTTCATTCTACATATTGCCGAATTCAAAAACTTTAGTCGGTCTAGAGTATTCTATGCATCTAGCTATTCTTGATTATCTTAAAATTATTGAAACCGCGGTTTATCTAAACCTTTACAATAATATATGCGTTTGTGTCGTGCAGAATAACCGGTACCTACAAGCGATTCGAGAGCACGACAGTAAATCCTTTTTAACATTCGAATTTCGAACCGAATCTCATTAAAATAATTAAGTCTGTTATACAAACGGCCGATTGTCCTATTGTGAAGTGTAAAACATAGTATTTTTTTTTTTCAAAAAAAAATATTCAATGACGAACCTCCGTGGCAGCACATAATATGTATGTATATTGCATATTATTTTATTGCTCAACCCTTCGCTATAGAAATCCATACACGCTTTACCACAAGTGATACAGACTCGGGTTTTTTTCTGGGCGAGCACACAATAGTGCTATAATCAATTGTACCCGATCATCAACAGGTTGTTTTGGGATTTTCCTTGCCGCAGAACACTAGTCGGGTGAGGGCGTGATCTATGCGAAAACGTTTAATTGTCCGACCAACGGCCATGATGACCGCCGACTGTAATTTATTTGACACCTAAGTCACGTCCCTCTTATGTGAGCATAAGGAACGTCCGCGCTTTTTGGCACAACAATATTTATCCGGAAATCACTACAGTACGACCTTGGCAACAAATGTCAAAAACACTAACAGGAAACTGGTCGGCACGGATCACAATACGAATCTTATTGAGCTCCTATTCACTCGAATATAGTCATTCCAAAAGAAAGGAATAATCTTTCGTCGTCTTCAGAAACAAATACACAAAAGCCACAATGACTGATGAGCAAGGCTATTCCAAAGCTATGCCGAGTTAGGTCCGGGTGTATAACAGAATTTGAGGGGGAGGAGGGTAGGGGCTTATAAATTGTAACACCTGCCAAAAGTAATTTTATGTCTAATTTATTATTAAAAGGATCCATATTTTTATACATTTAAAAATACTTGTCGATGTAAAATATATTGCTGTACAACAAAACTTGACTAGAATACAAATATACTAGTCTATTAGTACCTAATACTAGTCTACTAGTATTAAAGTACATCAGGAACAATGTTTTACCTCCTTATTGATATAAATGCAAATGAATGCATTTTAAGGCGGTCATACACGCAACGTTATACTTGACAGGTACACTTGTTTATGTTACCTGTAAAGGCAAACCGGAACATGTGTATGACATGAGACTATCCACAGTTTTTCCGCTACGTGTGTGATTATAGGATGTTCAGGTTTACTTGACATGTTCACCTGAACAAGTATAGCTGCCAAGTATATCCAAATCTGACCTAAGAATTTCTTTTAGCACATTTCTTTTTTTTTTTTTTATGTCTTCCTTGTAAGTTGAAAACAATAATCAGAATTTTTTTTTGTGCTTAACCACAGATCATACATTAAACCAGTTCAGAATTCAACATAAAAAACAAAAATATATAATTTAAATACAATTATTTAAACGTACAGACATGTTGAAAATACTACAAAACGGTATTTTTTACAACTTAGGTGGCAAACTAAAAAATAACTAGACGTGCTAGAGAAATTATAAAGCCAGATTTGGAATCACCAAGAAAAAAATTAGTTCTACCGTGGATTTTGTTGTGTATAAAATCGTATTGTCTTGTACAGTAATCAGTATAATTTGTCATAGTATAACATAAATAAAATTTGACATGAACAAGGCGTTTTTAAATAATTCTTTTCAAAAAATGTATCCAGACAAGTCACTGAAAAACGATTCCTTATATTCTTTGACATTTTTCAGCTTTATTTTTTTATCCTTTCATTAATTTTCGTGACAAAAAAATTGTATCACTTTGCCCTCCATTCAAATAGTGTGTTTTATTGGGACATGTACTCGAAAAGGCTGTATTTATAAAATATGTATAGTTGTTTTGCTATTCATTTTTTTTTATTTATATAAAAAACAATTTTTTTCTTAACTACACAATGATTTTATTTACAATAAATATCCCCAATTTTTTTATTTCGTGGTTAAAAACTATTATATTCTAAACGTAATTTGTTAAATATTATATGATATTCGTCGACTTGACTATTTTTATTTTGTATCATTATTTAATAAATCGTTTACTAATAATAGTATGATGCGAACAGGTGTAACATACAACATAATTGCCAATACAAGTAGTATACCATTACATACACAATTATTTGCTTTGCAGTATGACTGGTTTAAAAAACACAATTTTTTATTCCTATGCAGTGTCCTCTCCTTTTCCAAAAATATAAGCGCATACATAAGACTCAATAATAATAATATTGTTATTATATGTTAAAACCACGGGAAAAATATAATAAATAATGATTCCGCTCAAAAATATTCATGTCACGACAGAATAATAATGATGCATACAATTTTACTACTTATTTGTACGTATATTATGTCGTGTACGTTTTTGGATGTCATGGTCGTGCCATTTTTTTATAAATTAACATTTTTGTATTTAAAACTATTTTAACCACTTCTATAAGAAACTATGATTTTAGTGAATACTTTACAGTATAAAAAAAAATACTAGTTAACAACCCGGTAAACTTGTTTGACAGATTCGCAAATGTAAATCATTACCGGTAATTTCGCTCACCTTCAATGATCAATCATACGTTAATAATAAGTATCTGTTTGGGATTTTCTCAAACTTGACACACTGTAGCGTCATCTTATTTAAATCAATAAAATAATACTGTCTAACTATACGAATTGTATGCAAAAATTACGTATGTCTTAAAAAACATATATGATAAATATACATTTAAAAAAAATGATTTGTAATTATTATTAAACTATTATTTTTTTTGTGCAAAACTCTAAAAACTATTTCCTAAATTTAATATTTTAATTGTTTTCTTACACTTGTTAATTGTTTTGAACGACGATAGCCACTTTAAAATTGTTGTAATTATTTTCATGGACAGGCATGCACTTATTTATCTGTACTTTTGAAATATCATCTGGCGATTGATTTTGAGGCGCTTCCTCTAATGCGTATAGGATGATTAGTTTAGCTACGATACGGAAATGAGAAGGTATTAATTTTACTAAAGTGATGTGTTAGTTTTTGTTTTTTTGTGTCTACTGTCTAGACCAACGATGACACTTTATTACTGGACCGACGTCGTACCATAATAATATTTTCAACGGAATTCAACCGAACAATTTTTTTTATTCTAGAAAAATATGAAAATTACTTAGTCAATAAATTTGTGTTGGCAATTGGTAAAAACGTACCATATCATAACATCAATATTGGCATATTGTCTACATAATAATTTTTACCTAGTGAATATATAGATTTCTTTCGCCATCTCAACAGATTCCCACTGTAGCACTTTCCATGGTAATCCTTCATATCAATTGCCGACACTGAACTGTTCTTACTAGATAAGTGACCCCCACGTAGTCCGTCTCCATTATTTTGGCTTTTTTTTTATGTTAAACAATTAGTTAATGACGCATTGCTAGGCTTACACGCGCTACTCGATGACACTCATTGTGATATAGGTGTTCAAATTCGATGTAGTTAACCGTTTGTTATTTTGTCAGCAGTTCTAATTTTTTTTATATAAAAAAAACACAAAAAAAAATTGAAAATTCCTAATGAAAAAAAAATGTGCCGCTAATCGAAACCGCACAAATAAGGTCAACGAGTTAGTATACTAACTCACTACTCTCTTTTTATCGGTATAGAACGGACGAAAAAAAAACAGTATACCATAAATGTGTAGAAGTTCGAATTAATTATTATTGCTCAATCCGAACGTTTCTTTTGGCTTAACATACATCTCCGATCACTTTTTCTTCTCGTTACCGATTTCCAATTATCGCTGTACTTATACATAGCTATAGATAATATGCTTTTATTGGTCTGTCGGCGCCTGTGCCGTTACCTTACCCCCCCCCCCCCCCCCGGAAAGCACAATTTGTGCAAAACGTTCACATGGTCTGAAATTAAAAATAAACATAGTATTACATTTATATTATAAGTATCATCATTATTATGTATTCGTGTTTGCCGTTCTTATCGACGAGATGCGGGATTCGTTTGTTGGCACATGTTTTTTTTATAATTATTTTCATTATTACTGTATTTTTTTTTTAACGATACACGACATGTCGTCGGACTTAAGCCGTACTCGTAATAAAAATAAAATCATAAGTGTACGCAATCCGCAGCAACAGTCGCCCGTGTAGCAGTTCCCGTTCGTTACCTCCGCCGGTGACCAACCTGCGACGGCCGACGGTGAAAGTTAAAGATCGGTTTTTGTATATTTTTTTTTCATCTATAAAGACGAGACCATACTATATATTATTATACACTTGTTACACAATATATTATGTTGCCGGGCAAACGGCAATCGCGTTTGGAACTGCAGTTTGTTAGACGTTTTGATTTCCTCCTCCTCCTCCAGCTAATAATTGTATTCCATCATCTCCATCTCGCCAGCGCCGTCAAATCCGTCACAATCACAATAATATGCGTACGTTATTATAATAAATAATAATATGTATACATTATTATTATTGTATTATGTACCCGTGTATCTAACGTCGCTCGGAAAGCGCGAAATTGCACAATTTTATTTTTTGTTTGTGAGTAAGTATTATTTTACCTTTGTAGTTGTTGTCGCTTCGGTAGAAAAGAAAACATGGGCCTTGACCTAACGCGAATCGCATTGAATAGAAATGATTATTATTCTCCAGTTAGGAGGTACCTTCTACCGCAGTAGTGAGTGTGTTTTTTTTTTGCATAGAGCACAGCGCCGTAGAGCAAATTTGTGTACAACAACTACAAAAAAAAAAAAATACTTTTTACTTCTAACTGTAGGATCATTCCCGTTTAAAAGTATAGGCGGAGGAAGGGGCGGTCCCCTTCGGCCAATCGACTGATTTAAAACCAATTTTTACGCGGTTGATTTCAACTTTTAAAAATTCAGTGTTGTAAAAAATCTTATACCTTCTATTATAATATTATAATTATTTTTAACTTATTAATATGAGCTTTAATAGGTTTTTTTAATGCATTTGAATCCACCAGAGAGTTACATTGGTGTGCATCTTAAAATAATATAAGGCCTGAGTATGCGAAATAATTAAGTTCAATTTTTAAAAGAAAGTTAACCTATGTATAGTTTTAAGATGTCTCAAAACATACGTTTGAACCGTGTTACGGCGTCTATCCTATTTATGGATAGACATAACGGATAGTAATATATTGGAAGAAGGCGTAGGCAAATGAACACATCACGAGTGTTCACAGAAAATATTATCTGTAATCGCGATGACCTTTTCCAGTGCTGAATTAGAAACGATTTTGAACTAACGATCAGTCTAAAGAAATGTATGATTTTTCAAGTTATAACCAATACAATAGATGTTAATCGTAAATAGGCAAATCAAAATTTACCTGATTCCCCGTGGGCAGTAGTTAGCAATACGTACTTAGTCCGTATTAGAATGACACCCAGGAACCACTTAACCACAAAGATTGCAAAACAAAATTCCCTGCAATGTTAATAAACCATTCAAAACGTTCTGAACAAAAGGAAATACAGCCAGCTTCATACACAAAAACCAGATCTTACATAAAGAGTTTAAAAGTTGTATTGACAAGTATTATGATTTATGAGTAGGTAATCAAAAAGCATTTTTTTTTTTTAAAGTCGCTTTTACCTTTTGGTTCTCATCACTTGAAATCATTTCTTTTAATTTATAGCAGTTTCTGTCGTCCCATATAGTAATCGACTTTGGTGTATGGGATTAGAGGCACCTTGGCAATAATTAATTTTCAAATTAAAACTTACATCAACAAACCAATGTACGCTTCACTTCGCGACCCACCAATTATATTATTATTTTCACAACTTCAACGTTTTTTTGATGTTACAGCTTTACTGTAACTTAATTGCTCTGTAGTTTATGATCCATAAAAAAAAGACATGAAAAATATATGTTTGCTCATTAAAAATGAATTTACTAGCTGTAGAATATACTAAATACTTATTGCGGTAAGCCAAGTGGAGAAGTAATTTTCTTTAAAGCTTTTCACATTGTCATAACTATATAACAGATTATAATATAATATGTACCGGTTATAAAGGCATAAAAACATATTTTGATTAATCCGTAAGTGACAATCTATCAAATCAAAGTGCAGCTATCAATCGTCATCAACATAATGTTATAATCAAATATTGTGTCTACGCTGCCTGCTATATTCAGCTAATGAATTATTACATGTTATTTGTGTGGTACGATATTTAAACACCTCGGGCTTGGGCCTAGCTCTGTCGTTTGTTATGAAATTCCCAACAAATGACCTCACGCCAATGGAAGACCTGTGTCATTACGCTTAAGTACAATACCGATAGGTTCCTTTTGATTTCATTTGAACATATTGTCTTACGCAGCGGCATCCCGGCCTGTGCTAACACATACAAACGTGTGTGTATTGTGATTAATGGATTTAACGATTCCAAATTCTAATTTCAAGGCCACTTTTTTATGTCACGTTATAGGCTTTGTGTCCGATTAATTGAACAACGCTATTAGCCCAATTATTATTGCAGCGGAATGAAAATTTAAATTAATCAAACCGTTTGAACTTCGCCTAATATAACACGAGTTATGACCCTGAATCGATGTCAAATCAAATATTGACTAGCGACACGTAAAGAGAAAATCACACTAATCCCGCATTGTTTATATGGGTTCAAATGGCAAAACAACAACAACAATATATAATATAGCCTTGGTTAAAAGTATGTTCCTTGTTTTTGTTCTAGTTAAGGAGAAGCGTCGCGGACTTGCACTTGGATGAAAAATACGACGATTGTTTTTTACTGAGATGGCTCAATGGTAATAAATAATGTTATTTTCAATAAACAGTATCTGGCCCCTTTAAAAAAAACGTACACTGTAGAGTATAGGGTAGGTATACTTTTATTTTCTTACCACGAGCTTACATAGCTGCAAACTGCACTTGTCTGAGTTATCGCACTGTTTAGATAAATGGTAGTATAATTTCTTGATCGATTAAAAAAATAATAGAATAATCTAATGTTTTGTAATCTCGTGAAGTGAAGTAGGTATAAAAATGTAAGTTTCGATTTTTTATTATATACGTACAATAAGCAGGACGTTTTTTAGTAATATTTAGAATAACCCCAAAAAAAAAAACAATTCAAATTTTTATATAATATTCAGTTAACAAAATATCAGTAAATAAACTTTTACTTTTATTTTGGTTTTTTAATTCTCCATATTGTTATGTCGATGAACTCACTTGTCACTTGTTCTTCTCTCCCCGCCCTCTTACGCTTGTAATTCATACAATAAACAATGACTACGGTGTATAATTAGTTTAATATCTAATCGAAACGTTGAAATACTAAAAGGAACCGGTTGATTTAGTCAGCCAAACGCGTGACGTAACGTGCGAGTTTGTAAATTTGTTTTCATGTACGCTTTATGTGTTTTGCAGCTAGAAATTTCGATTCGAAGGCGGCTGAAAACATGTTGAGAACCGTAAGAACCTTAAGAAAACCGGCATAGACTTTTCCGGTGTTACACGGTTTGTTTTTATTTTTTTTTGCGTTTTTCAGTCGATGAAATGGCGCGAAGAGTGGTCGATCAACAAGGACGACGGTTGGAAACCTCCTCAAGTGCTGATCGATTACATTCCCAGCGGTATTTGCGGGTACGACAAAGAAGGTTCGCCCATAGTAGTCATACCTTTCTCGGGATTTGACGTGTGCGGGTTAGTCAAGTCAGTGTCGCCCAAAGACATGGTCAGGTTTTTGGCACAAAAAGTCGACTCTTACTTGGAAGTCGCGAGACAGTCGTCGCTCAAGAACGGCCCCAAAGCGTCTCAGGTCGTCTGCATCGTCGACCTGACCGATTTCAATCTGAGGCAGTTCACCTGGAGACCGGGTACACAATTTGCCACTTGTATAAATTATACCTCGAATCGCTATAATATGGTCCGGGCCATTTCCCAGAGAAGGTTGCAACAAATGGGTCTCTCGAATTTGACATCGCCTCATCTGTAATATACTTATAATTAAAAATGTATGATAATATTATAAACGAGTGTGTGTGCTTCGTTGGGGAAACTGTTTGCTCGGCTTAACCTCATGACCAAAATACATCATCTGACACCGTCGTTGCCAACAAAAACGTCTCACTGGGTATTCGGAGACATTTAGGGAATACTTAGCGTTAGCACTTGTAATGTGGTAATTAACAATTCTTTACATGTCACAATCCACGTATCATTTTTCTCCGTTTAAATAATAACCGTAAGTTAACTCTACTGTTACAGCACACCCTGTCCAAATGTGGTTCTCTTATAAGTGGAAAGGAGTTGTTTTGCGATTCTTTATTTTTTTATTTTGTCATACCAATGTCATTAGCATAAAGCTCATATATTAACACTTATAGTCTATGAACTGTGCGCCGATGGGTTTTTTCTTTTCTTTTATTCAGAAAGAACAGTATTATTATGATAATAAGTCCTGGACACTATTATTATTATTGCTTTTTTGATACCACTAAAAAAATAACGTATTGTTTACCTACCGTGCAGTATTTTGTTAGAAAGACACACCAAGTCGAACACGCGTTTGACATTATATAATGAGTAATAACATAATAAAAATAACAAATGCTAATTGCAAACCTCACTCGGTGATTCCATTCTGACTATTTGTTATTTTGTATTTTATCATATTAGATTCAACAGCAAAGGTTACTATAAAATTAGCTTATTCTAGTTTCGATTTATAGTTTTGTTGTTGTTTATAAGTTCATATTTTGTTTTTTTTTACATACTAATGTCTTCAATCGAGAAGATAAACGCCTGGCAATTACTTCCTGATATTTCCAGTTAAAGAGCATCTACATTATAATATGCCTGAACGTGACTGTGATCGGTTGAGATTTTGTGCATGATGTTTTGTAATTTTGAACTCTTACTCAACCGAGTCGCATGAAAGTTTATTATGCATTTCGCCAATCCTAAAACATTTATTTTGAATTGGTTTTAACTGGAATTACTATGAAAAATTTTAAAAATCTTAAAATTCCACTGCAATATATTAGATACAATTATCATCGAATAAATGTTCAATGTAATATATTACATGAAACCTTATTATATAGTCATCACCAGGCTCATTAGAAGAATAGAAAAAAACTAAAATTTTGGCCTTGTAAAATTGCGTTTTTTCTCTGAAACGCGATAATACACCTTATTGACGCAGGATGATTGTCCATATCGCACTTAATGAATAGAATATCAGTTATTTTTGGCCAATATATGTGATAATCGACGCGTGTGCGAAAATTAAAAAAAGCAATTTGATTTTTTTGTAAGTCGTAAACAATAATATTATTATAGTTATTATTAATTTGGCAGCCCATACTTGTGGTTAACAACATCATCAGTATCATACTATGTTATTTATGTCTTGTTCAAAAGTGCCACTCATCTTTTGCACTTTTTGTTTGCGAACAGCATCTACTGCAGCTGATGAGTGTGATTAATTAACTTTGCAATAACACTGGACGACATCTATCGTTTCAAATTATATATATATATATACGTTATACATACATAGGGCATCGTCACCTTTTGTTAATAAATTTTCACGAAAACCGCAATGACGTATAAAACATCCTCGTAAGTCGGTTAAGCCCTAGTTAATTATGGATAGTATTGTAGGATAGTCATCGGGCATACCGGGGCAATCAATCATTTTCACAAAAGTGTTTTGTTGCAGCTGCCGAATTGACAATAACCCTGTTGCAAATGTACGAGGCCAACTATCCGGAAATACTAAAGGCCGTATACGCAATCAACGGTAAGCAATTAATATATTTTGGCAGAGTATCGTAGGTACATCAATTGTCCCACCTGTACTGATTTCGAGACGTATCCATTTAGAAGCAATTTTAATTAGCAATTTTTTTACATTGATTTTTTCATTAAAAACAAACATTTTAAAGAATAAAACTACAGTTAATCATCTCTATTCCCATGCGTGAATCCTTAATTTACTGTTGATCTCAAAACGTAGAATATTTCCTATATATTTGATCATAGTAATTCATAGTGTAATAAAATTAAATATGAAGTGAAAATGTATAATTAGCATACCTGGTCTGTTATGAGTTATGACTAAATTTTATATGTAAATACTGATTGTAGCTCCAAAAGTATTCGCTTTCGCCTTCAACATATTAAAAAACATTCTGACCGGAAACACAATGAGTAAATTCATAATTTACAAAGCGGATCCCAATAAATGGAAGGCCGTTTTGGCCAACGGCATCGATCCTGATCAATATCCAGCGTACTTAGGTGGTGCACAGACCGACCCAGACGGCAATCCAAAATACGCAACTAAAGTGAGGCATTTTAGCATTAAATACTGACTAAAATAATACCAAAATACTAATAAGTATTTAGACCAAGACTAAAGTGCTATTGTAAGGTCTTCACTTGAGAACTAATATCCGAATCTATCGTTAAATTAGGAATTCTTACTCTCTCATCATAGAACCCGTATAAATTACTGGAAAGGATTAAGACTATAATTTATTTTTATTTCTACTACAAATTTGCAATCCGAGAGTGAGTATTGTTTGCTATTATAACTCGAAGTAACAGAACAGTTAATATGAAATACCGTTAACATAGCACGGCGTAATTAATAGAGGAGTTTTAAAGTCATCTGGGCAAGGTTTGGAGAAAAGTAATTTTGTTACAGGAATTTGGACACGCCTGAACATTATCATTGAGTATATATTACAAGTATATAGTACAATATGTACTCAATGACATTATTTACGCAATTTTGCGTTATTTAACAATTAACGGTCGTTGTTAAATTTAAGACATCAATTTAAACATCGAGTTAAGCTTTTTTGGGGGGTTGCTCTGTTATTCTGCAGAACAGATAAATAAAAACATATATGTTATTGCGGAGAAAAGTAGGCGTAGGCATTATATTATAGTATAATATACTGTTATGTGTGCATTTTAAAATTTACATACAATGTATTAGTATTACGTGTATAAGTTTGCTTAACACATTTTTATTTTCCAAACCAAACATTATACAATTTACGCATGCCTTACTTTGTGGTTTTAGATTGTGCAAGGAGGAAAAGTGCCAAAGGAATTTTACGCGAAGAACGACAAGAAACAATTGCTCTCTGATGATTACACAACTGTGAACATAAAAAAAGGCGACAAGCTATACCTGCAATATTCAGTGACAGAACCACAAAGTTTTCTCAGGTAATTTTCGACGAAAACCCGGAGGTCAATTGAACGGCATTGACTTTCATTAATAGATTAGGTCCACACTTCACACGTCAAATATTTTTAATTTAAAAAAAAATTACAGCAAAACTCAAAACTAAAAACATTAATTTTTTAAAAATGTGTTTTACTATTTTTACTTAAACTATAACGTTCATAAACTGGTACACGAATAACTAGTGTCCGTTTAAGTTGTCGATGCTCAGTTTGAAATCATTAACGTTTCCAATTTAATGAATTTAAATTAAATTTCGTATGCGTATTGCCTATATAAAACGCCTTAAAACCAGATATATTAAAATAATCGATTTTCCTAATTAAAAAAAAAACTATATTCTCTACTTGTTTACAACTAGTTAACGTCTACTCGAATTATTTTCATAAAGCCATTCTAGAATAAAAAATAATTATACCTAACTAAAATCTGATATTCCCAAGAACAAATTCATGTACTAAAATGTTTCATCCAAATTACAATTATAAAAATAAATTTCAATATTTAGGTATTTTTATGATACAAAATATAAGACATTTGTTTACTAGAATCTGAGCTTATGAATAACAATACATTTTTTTTCGATAGGTGGCATTTTAAAACTGAAGGACATGACATCAAGTTTGGGGTTTTAGCGACAGATTCGGAAAACATACAAACCGTTGTATTACCAATCAAAAAAGTGCCCTGTCACGAATTTGAAGAAATCGGCGTCATAGTATGCAAATACCCAGGCATATGTAAGATATAGGTTTTTTAGGTTACCATTGGATTGTGTGCTTATTGTTAACTTGTATTCATTACTAAAATGTTTTTTTATCTAACAGACACAGCAGTATTCGATAACAGTTACAGTTTCATACGCAGCAAAAGGCTTTCCTACAATATACGAGTCACGTTGCCAGTGTCGGAAAAGAACACGATGGCGATTGAACAACTGGGCGAGGTGGAAGAGTGAATAGACCCTTATGTAACTTTAACGGGAAATAAAACTAAACAGGGCCACTCAAATCAAAATTATTCAAGTTATATTGTATATCGTATTACGTTATTACAGTAATATATTAATAATAATTTTCATTTAGGATAAATACCGTCTTATAGAACTTAACTGAAATAATAATAAATTACCTAGTAAATATTATCATCTGACAATATTGTAAAGATAAATATTTAACAATAATTATAGCATTGGCTGTGCCCGACAGACTTTTATATACATAAATGATCTGATGCCATTATTATTATTTAGGAAAACGTTATTATTAATAGCTAATCATCGGAATCTTCAAACAGCATATTAACCAAGTCCGGTTTCAAACATTCCTCTACTTGAAGTTTATGCAGCGTACCCCATTTTATTATCGTTGGCAAAAATTGCAATCTTATTCTTTTGTCTGTTTTAAAAGGATTTCCAGGACAATTTTTCCACCTGAAACACAAATGAAATGTACCCTTCAATGATTACATTATATTTGTTTGTGTTTTAATGTATAAGTACTTTGTTATTTTTATTTATGTCTTTATATATTATATTATTGTGTATTTTTATTTTATTTTTTTTTTACATATGAAATATACAATTACAAATACAAAGTATAAGCATTTGATCTTATTCTATTGTTTTTTTATAAGTAAACCTACTAAGTGTTACAATAGCTCAAAAATAAATTACTGCACCGACCCTTAAACCATCATAGGCCTAAAATAAGAGAGTGACTTACCCCCCCCCCCCACTATGATATAAAAACATTTTAAAGCAATTTATGGACTTTTTGTTATCATTCTCAATAAGTATTCAGTTTACTCGATTATTTTATTGAAGTTAGATATGCAAATCGACAGAGTACGTCTCTTATAATAAAAATAATAATAACATTGATAATTAAAAAATAAATAAGGAAAAGTAATTTATCAACTGTACAAGTTGTTTTAAGATAAAAGGACCATAGCCCATGACAAAAGCTCCCATTCTCTCGTCATAGACACTTCAGTATTTACCTTATGAGTTATTAACTAAATAATTCAGATTTCAATTTCTTATTCAATACAAATTAAATCTGTAATAAATTAAAATGTTTAATTAAAATGTTAACGTTCTACACAATAACCCTACAACTGTATGATTATATAATAATTATTTTATAAACTTTTAATAATTAAAATACTTATTAATCTAAGGATCGTCTTTTAAAAACAACGACTGGTCGATATCCTGCTTTACACAATGACTTTTATTATAAATAGCTTTTAAAAATGTAGACCGCCAAGATATTGTGATTGCAGTTGAGTAAAGTGAGGGTATAAAAAAATATTCCCAGCTACACTTTTAAGCACTAATAACTCCAATTGCAATAATTAAAATATGGTTCTTGCTTAGTGAACACTTCGAGCGAATTTTTAAAAATTTGAAATCTAATAAAATATGACGTATGTTTTACTTAAGTTATAGAAGTTTATAAATACAAAAAACTGGAGGTATTAAACAAATTATGTTATCTTATAAAACAATATAAACTAAATCATCGAATATAAGCTTATCCTGGAAATAGAATGTCAAAGATGGAAAACTAACAAATTTAAGATGTTATCAAACTTCAATTTTATGATTATTAATTACTTTTTAGAAAAATTTAAAGTTGTTGAAAATTGGATACATTATTATTACTACTTGAATATTCGAAGGATTCGAATCCTTATTGAGATTCGAATATTTGAATATTCGAATATTTCCCATCACTAGTATTTACATATTTAGAGGTCATAGTAAATTTGAAAACAACTAGTTACTTAATTTAAGAAAACACTTCAAAGTAAATCTGTGGTTGGGTACAGAATTTCATTATACTCAAGTTATTTCCTGGAATTATTCAATATATATAAACCATATTTGTATCTTAAGTTTTAAAGAAATCTTCTAAAAATTCAAACCATTGACTTAATACAAATTGATTGGATTTTCTTTTACTCACTCTTCTCGTTTTCCTGCATATGCATACACTAGATTGACGTCTTTCAATAATTGTTCATTAAGCTCGATTTGATTCTGGATTACTGGTTCAGCTGTGTATTTTTTTAATTTTTTTAAATATATACAAATAATCATTACAATATCTTAAATGTGACATCAGACTCGAATAAATTATGATCAACAAACCTAGAACACAATCCGAACACCAACTCTTTCCGGTTTCGTTGGGAGTTCCTGTGAACACGACATATGATTTTTGATTGGCATCGTCCAATTTTTTCATCAGTGTTGTAAATTCTTCGTAATTTTTCGTGTGGTGTAAGTGAACCATTTTGTTTTGATACTATCAGAATGAGTTAAAAAATCATATACAGTTTCAAAACTGAGCAAAAGTTGTTATAACCTTCAGGTTTCACTTGAGCAATAATAATGACTTATTCGTCGTAGTCAATTACTACTCGTGTCTAGTACTGAATATTTACCTATACAAATTGTAAAATAATTTGCTGCACTTGTGGTTTTTTGTTTACAATAAAATTAACAATAATAATAGTTATCGTTTAATTTTTATCACCGAATGAATGTTTGTTATTAGTTATGTTATCAGCTTCAGTTTTTGGTATCAGAAAGATTATCACTACTTTTGCTGAGAGTGATAAGGCACTTGAGGGAAATATATTCTATCCCGCGACCCGCAGAGAGCAGACTGCAGACGTTGATAAGTATGATATGTTAACGTTGTTCCATATAATATTCATGATTTTAATATCGAGTACCGAGTATTGGCTAATGGACGGTGGACCTAATTTGCTGTAAAATATTGTGTTTTCATCGTTTTTTTTGTTATTCATGTTATGTAGAAACCCGTGAGTACTGGCTTGAACTATATGTATATGTTAAGTGTGTTATTAACATCAACGTGTAATTAATCGTTCTAATAATACTAGCAATTAGAGCATTTAATGTGAACTGTGACAGTATTTACAGCTGTATCAATAATAATTATAATAATATTATTGGCCTCTCGAATCACCACAGAATCTATGCACACACAAATACTGTAGTCGTTTTTTTCATATTTTTTTAATTCTGCAGTAGGTAGTAATAATATCTAAAACAAATAAACTTATATTTTAAAACCACAAAACGTTTAACTGCAAATGCGTTAGATAACGCTTTATGTTAGAAACCAATTTTCTTCTTGATGTCATCATTCTCAATCAGTTCTGGACGTCGCACATTGTTCGGCACAAAAGATAACTTAGTGGATCCTATACAGGAATTTAATTGGCACTGCTATAATAACTTTAATACTCGACCAAAGGTTTGTCTACACCAATAATAAACATATGTTTTTAACTTAGAATATAGTAAAAAAATTATTAACCTTTCTCATTGACAATAATCTAACTCAATTTTCGGTGATAAGTGGTGTGGCAGCTATCTAATGCATGATTGGTTTTTACAGGAAAACTTAGGAAACCATATATATGTTAAAACTGCATTAAATATAAAATACTATATTACGCCAAATTAAAATGCACAAAAAAAGGTATCCGGTAAAGTAAATTTTTGGTTAAGAATATATAATATTTAACACATTTAAATTAGTTGCTGGTAGCATGAACTTTTGTAGTAACGTAAAAAAAATATTGTGTGGTGATTTAAAATATAATAAGTTTCATTTTTTTCCAATTAAAGTTTTTGGTTTGTTTTGTTGTGTGAATAAATTATGTTGCACATCTAGTTGCAATAAAATTGTTGTATTGTTTGGTTTTTAATAAATAATATTGCACTACTTCAAATTAAATTTCAAAATTTTCTTTACATACATAATATATACAGTTAAATCCTCTCTTAATCCTAAATTAAAATAAAAAATTATTTTTTTAATTTTACTATTTGAAGAACAAAATGCATTTAACGCAACAATTATGTTCTTTGGTTCATTAAACACCACCCAAATTTCTTGGTTATTTCTTTTAAACTATTTAATTCTCTGTCTCCTATTGTTATGTATAATATTTTTGGTCTTTCTTAATCATAAGAAATGGAGTGTGACAACTAACAGATGTATTGTTTACGCTCACTTGAATACCAATTAAACATTTATTTAAATGTACATATTTAATTTGTAACAGTGATCTAAATTCAATTGTAAATATTATATTTCCTTAAATACCACAAGCTGTAAATAGTTATTCCTAATCACTATTATGCCCTTGTCAAAATGTTGTGTATGTTCTTTAAATTGTATGTAAAGGTTGTAAAAACACTTATGCCTACATTGCTCATTCCAAATCTACTTAATAACAAAAATTAGATGACTATTATTTTATTATTGTTCAGATAATATATCATTAATGTGTAAACCTTGTATTGTTTACAATTAACTTAACGCTGTGGTTTTAAGTTAAATCACAATGACAAACATTTGAAAATTAAGAATTATTGAAATTTAAAATAAAAATTGAATTGCTAATCTTCTGTTTGATGTATTCGTGTTTTAGTTATGATAAGTATGCTTATTTTTATGTAATTTGAAAAATTGAGTGACATTCTTTGTCTAACTTTTTAACATACTTTTAATCTGGGGCTTTATGTGCATGAAAGTTACACATTTTGAACTTAAGTTTTATATTTTAAAATTATTCATATTATAAAATACTAAATATTTTATTTCTTTTTTAAATATTAAAAAACTCAATTTAATGAGCAAGTTTTATAATAAACAGCAAATGCTAATGTATATAGTTTTTTTTATACTTATTTTGAAAATTATTTTCATCTTGATTATGGTGTTGGCATTTGAATGTTAGCCAAAGTTTTTGAAGTTTTAAATTTATATTGTTAAATTTATCTTCTTTTTAACACGTCATTGTTTTGCTATGGTTTATAGGCCAATAGTATGTCGCAGTGCGACGTTACCGAAGGAGGCGTACCTCTTAACTCGCCTGCCTTTCTGTCTTGGCGGAAATTACAATTGAGCAGAGCTAAACTCAAAGCTTCCAGTAAAACATCAGCGTTATTATCCGGTTTCGCCATGGTAAATATTTACTTGTAGTTATTATTGAAATAGTTTACCAATATTGACTAGCTTAAAAATTTAGGTCGCTATGGTGGAAATGCAAATCAATGACGATTCTAAAGTGCCGGAAGGGATGTTGGTAGCATTTGCTGTATGTACAACTCTGTTAGTCGCCGTACACATGTTGGCTTTAATGATCAGCACGTGTATTTTACCCAATATTGACGCTGTATGCAATCTCCATTCGGTAAGTCTCGTCCACGAAGCTCCACACGAACGTCTCCACTGGTACATTGAAACGGCATGGGCGTTTTCAACACTTCTTGGGCTTCTTTTGTTCTTGGCTGAAATAGCTATACTATGTTGGGTGAAATTTTACGATGTGTCCAAGTATGCTGCATGGTCTGCTGTGATAATGTTGATTCCCGTTTTGGTGATATTCCTTGCATTCGCCGTGCATTTTTATCAGTCGATGGTCGCTCATAAATATGAAGTGACTGTTAGCGGTATTAGGCAATTAGAACTGTTGAAAGAGCAAATAGAAGCTGGTGATTTGGAACGCACCAACGGGTTACTACAAAGTATGCACAACACTCAAGTTGTTTGACGTTCTTCAGCAGTGTAGTGATAATGTAAAGATCATAACGTTTTGTAATTACAAAGGTGCTTTTTTATGCATGACTTCCATGTATTCTGACAGAACAAATAATAATGTACCGATATTTGGGTTTTTTTAATTGTCGAACACTATCATAACATTTTTTTTTAAATAAAACCCTCATTATTTTATCTCCTTGAAGTCATCAGTATCAAGAATACTCACTCGTTTTTTTTTTTTGGTACTATTGTTTTACCAAAATTATTTTTTAGAAATACAAAACAAAAATATAATAACCTTGTTTTTTATTTATTTTTACATTGTTAATAGATTATAAATTAATATTGTTGTAATTTTATTCGTAAGCGATTATTACCGTTGTTCTCAAATAAACTTTATACAAACTTAAATAGACATTTTTTTTAGTAACTTCTTTATACATAATTATAATTGTTAATAAGCTATTGCTTATTAACAATTTTTCATGTCTTTATATTTTATTATAATTAGTAATTATTATTCTTTTTTATATTTACAATATTTTTCAAATACGAGATGAAATGTTCAAAATAATTAGTAATCAAAATAGAATACTACAACAAAATATGCCTAGTAATTATGTTATAGTCTATATAAATATTTATATTGATGTATTAATTAAGATTTTATACTTCCAACTTTCAATCAGTCACACGGGGTAAAAATTTACCCCAGTCACATAACTAAGTTGTGTGACTGACGTAAAAAGTGTACCTAAGTCACACTTAATTTAATTTTGATTGGAAACGACGTGACCGATAGAAGGTTTAAATAATTTTTTTTTTTTATATAATATTATTGTTTATTTTGTATAAATACATAAGTAACTACTATATCTATAACTACAATTTACCTAAAACTTACATTTTTTTTCTTTTGTTTGGACACAATATGTATTAGCTGTGATAACATTATTGTACATAAGGGCTAGCAAAAATATTTTATAAAAACTGTATAGTAATTACCTTTTTTTTTCTTTAGTTCCTTAGATATTAATTAGCAATTTCAGTTGATTAAAAACAATGTTTACAATGGTTTTGTTCTTCTAAGCAAGTCAAAAAAAATAATTCCATTTGTAATCGACAATCGTCAATGTTGTTTAAAATACAGTATAAAAATATTTGTCCAGTCATATCATCGTTGTATACCGCTATGTTAATTAATATACTTAATTTGCTGAACATTCCTAAAAGTTGTTTTATTTGTTTGAGAAATAACACAATAATATTATTATAAGCTTAAAACGCTATTGATTAAGAAAAAAATCAGCTTACAAAGAGTATAAATGTTGGTTCGTCTCCCGTTTATTACATTTTTTCTATTTTTCGTTCCCAACGTAATACTAAATCTAAATCCTGTTTAAGGGTTTATATAAAAGTAGAACTCAAAATTGTCTTTCCACTCGGCCACGTGATTTTTTTGGGCATATATTATTAATAGTCATTATAGCATCTCTTGTATTCCTTATTAGTTTCACTTTGGTGAAAATATCGGCTTCGGGCTTTCAAGTACCTAGCTGATTTTTTTGCTTACTACTTTGCTTCTGTATTTAGATCACTAATCCGAGGTCTCTAACTTAATTCTCGATAGTGTCAAAATTTACCAGTTCTACAATCTCAATTGAGGTTCATGAAGCACTTAGTACTTAATAAGTGTCGTGATATCCTTTATGTACCTATTAGCAATATTTTAAACAAGTCTCTTGGTAGATGATAATGGTACTTTTTCAGCGGTTAGGAAAGTCAGTCGTGTTACTCCAATATTAAATTTAAGAGAGCCTACACATGTTTCTAATTATAGACCTAATTATTTAGTCTACCATTTATTGGTAAACTTTTTGAGTATATGTTAGTTCTTAAGCGAATTGAGCGTGTATCTTGTCTACGCTTTCTGTTAACCAACATGGCTTTATTATATGTTGTTCCACAACTACAAATGGTATTGACTTTTCGGAATTTGTTCGTGACGCTTAGATAGAGCACAAGTTATTATTGTATATACATTATACAGATTTTCCTTAGGCGTTTGATACAGTAGATCACGGCTCTCTGGTATTTATTGTTCTTCATAAACTTGGTGTTGGTGAGCGTATTTTACCGTGGCAGCGTTTGTATCTTATTAACAGGTGACAATTTGTTAATCTTCTCGATGTGGCCTCTGTTCGGTTTGAAATGATATCTGGTCCTGGTGTACCTCAAGGTGGTCAATCGTCTTTTATTGTTCAATATATTTATAAGCACTATGTATTTATTGTGGTTATTTCATGCCGAATAGTTCTTTTTAATGATGACGCAAAACATTTTACACGTATCTCATTTCAGGATGAATGCACCGAGCTACAAAAAGCGATTACAAGGTGTAGTGATATGGGGTTGCTCTTGCCCCTGAGAATGTAAGGGTACTGTCCTCTTGCTCAGACTACAACAGAATTTCCTTATTATTTGGATGATCTACCTCTGAAACGGTTTTTTTTTTAAGTCTTGATGGATCTTGGTATTCTCTAGTTCAGTAATAAAGTATTATTTTTATGGTGAAGGGTATGTACCGCCATTTTCACCGCAACTTGATTGTTTGTCAAATATAATATTATATTCCCCGTCTTGTTTAATGGCATTACACGCGCTATTTCAATAGTTATTCATTAGTCCGTTCTGTACTTAAGTATAGATCTATGGCTTGGACTCCAACCCAGTATGTGAAATCGACGCTCCGCGTCTCATTGAGCGTATAAGTATTCGAGCACCCTGTATTTTTACCAGATCACAAGAGATCTTCTACATTCGAACCTCTCGTTTGAGCCGTTCAAATTCCTCGAGTAACGACCTTCGACCCTTTACTTAGGTCAAAACATGTCAGAAAATTGAAAATAATAAATTAATCTTATATTAATTATTACATAAATATATTAAAATTATATATTATATTACAATATGTTTTTAATATCTTGTGTCTTAATTTTTTTTTTAATCACTATTATTTATGTGTTTTTGTTTTATGTTATCAGCTGCTAAAAACGTCGTTTGGCGTAAATTTGTATAAAATAAAATAAAATCTATTGTTATTTATGTGTCTTGTACTTTTAATAATAAATACAAATAAAAAGGCAAATAAACCGACGATTCTCGGTTTGTTTTACACGAAAAAAAATTAATTTTGTTTTTGTTATAATTTTTTTTTTAGCTGCTGTGGAGAAAAAAATTATTGCCTTATGTGTATCGTGCAAACATTTTTCGAGATCTGGTTGTCGTGATGGCGCCTGGCGAATAATATTTTAGTACTTAAAACATTTATTGTGTGTGAAATAATAATAATAAAAAATAAAAAAAAGCTATGGAAACAATTTCGCAAACCGACTAGGTCGTCGTTTTCGACTGTATATATAATATGTAGTTTGCCCGCATCATAGTAAAAAATAAAATAAATAGAAGTGCAAAAAAAAAATTAACAGTGGTCATAAACATTTTCAAGGTACCCTCATCGCATCGGTTGAATAACCTTGTTTGCCATGCGCGCACATAATAAATTCCAATCGAAGATTAAGTACAGGTTGTGTGTGTATTTTGCATAAAACAACTCGGTTTTAGTTGTACCACAAAATTACTAATTCTATGTACAATTACCTATTCTAAGTATGTGTATCATACCGCAGTTGTATGCTGCAGGCAGCTAAACTATTGAACTCGATACAATGCTATAGCTGTAGGTAAACTACTACGCCCCATGCTGTCCCTTGTATAGTGTACAAGCTGTACTTAAACGACCATAACACACACTGTTGAATTGAAAAATCATACTAGCATGTAAGCACAATTTTTGTAGGTTAACATGTATTTTCTGGGAAACTGTTAGCTGGGCAGTTATAAAGTTTGCCTTTACAAACTTGCCTACAAGTTATTCTAGAAAAATGTCGATTCTATAGTGGTATTTTTCTATTTATAACAAAATTTTATTTGTTTTTTTGGAACAAAATACATTATTTTTTTGTGTTTTTTTCTTTAAATACAAGTCGGGTCTTAAATTTTCTTTAGCACATCTTGTTACCTTTTAAATCCCCTACGAGTACAAAATACCGTAAAGTTGTACTTTTGCCGTGTTTTGTGCGTTTGTATAATTTTCTAAAATATATATGTATTTCCAATAGAGAGACTTTTTGTTATATTTTTCCGGAATTTAGGATTAATGTAGATTTTTTAAATTGTTTTTTAACACAACAAATTGTACATTTTTGTTTTGTAAGTTGTAACTTTTTATCCTATAATGTGTAATCACAAAGGAATTTCATTAAAAAAAAAAATTGTAACTTTGGTGACGTTTTAAAAAATAATATAGAACTATAGATGTGCTAATGAAAATTTTAGTCCAGGTTTGGATTTAGCGAAAAAATTACAATGATATAAATGTTAAATATTATTATTTCATTAGCACGGTACCTAGGTAATTTAACCTTACCTACTCTTTTACCTCGTTTGATGTAATACAATATATTTTGAGTGGGGGAGGGTGGTCAATGGTTATGTCTTATGGGTAACGAAAAATGTAGAAAACAGGCAATATAATAAAAAAGAAACTATTATACCGAGGCATAATACTTCGGTAGCTGACTGTATCGATTGACATACTAGATACTAAGAAAAAAACTGAAGTTTACTGTCAAGTGATGGGAACAGGATATAATATAGTATATATTGTACAGAATATAGAATAATGTGATACACGTTGAAGTATCCTCGACATGGTGAATATTCAAGACACAAGTATTTGTGTGTAGGTACGCACGCGCGTGTGAGTGGTAATAAAACAAAGAGATCAAAATACCGAAAAAAAAAACCCGTTTAAAAAAATATAAAGCCAGCACGTTGGGACCCGGCCGAGTACTTGTTTGGAGAAGTATAGTAAATTTGAATCATCTAAAATTTAAGTTGTTAAATGTATAAATTCGAAGGTGAAACCTGAAAATGCCAAGTGGTGCAATCGTGACCCTCAAAAAGGAACATTTTCCCGAGAAAAATATATTACTTCCCTGCTTGGGTTACAATTAGTTACACCAGTTTGTACCTATATAGATGAGGTTGCATCACTCGACTTTTCTTAGTCCATACAACTAAGAAAAAAATATTTTGTTTTTTTTTTTTGTGAGAAGGGGAATTAAAAATATACGGCCATACACAATTGACGTATAAAACATGGGAAGTGAATGTATAATCTAAAGACATTTTATTCTATAAAATGTCTCAGTTGAACTAAACGTAATTACGTTATGAGCTAAAGACGTATTAATAAAAATAAAATTACACTAATTAGCCAATTAACGATAATATGTTGCTGGGTCTTATGAAAGATCGCATAAACGTTCAATAAAATTGTAACGAATATTTATCACAACAGTCAGAGATTAAAGTGTCCTTCTGTCTCTGAAACCACTTAAAAAGCTGTTACGAAAAATTCGCAGGTTATAATGCCTAGTGTGATACCTTTTAACGATTATGGCTTTTAACTTATTAGTTTTTTTTAATTTCAGTCCTAGATGGTTAATTTTTTAAGCGTATTCCACTTACAGGCATTTACGCTAAGAATTAACGTTTTCACATAATATACCTAAAGATGACGAAAGTTTTATTATAAAGAATAAAAATATTAAATTGAAAAACGCAAATGGTATATTTTTCAACGTGTTTTGTTTATACACGAACCATCTAATAATAGGAGTGCTTAAGTGTTTTTGTTGTGTATAAATATGTTTTTGCAGTTGATATAACATGATCGAATAAATTCAAACAAAGTACACAAATATTGGCACTACTTTGTGTTATGTATATGATATATTACCATTTTCACAGTTTGAAAAACCGAATACAATTTGTCCTATTTATTAAATAAAATCTATAGGGAAATTTTTTCATAATACTTTTTTTTTTTTAGTTGGCCGCCTAACAACTCTTTTTTGGTCCACCAATATTCATAATCATTTTGTATCGATATTTATTATTTTAAAAGATTACAACAAAAGAAAAAAAAACCAAATTATTATATATATATATATATATATATATATAGGTATACAATATTATGTTATATAAATTATGTATTATTTCTATAATTATTGTTAAACATCGACGCATTTTTGTTTTTAAATTTGACTACTGAAAATTATTAAAATTATTATTTTAATAAAAACTCCAACAAAGAAAATAGTTTTATTGTAATATAATAGTACATAAATCTCAGTCCTTGTTGCTACCACAATAAGATAACAATGGGCACCGTGGGGAGGGGAGAGTCTCCCGTTTCGTTTTCCCCCATCGACCGACCCTCGGCATTCTGTCGCCATTAGTCCGTATAAAAATATTATTGCGTTATACATACGAGTATACGACTGAATCTCAGGGTTGTCGAAATAGAAGACAAACAAAAAATACAAAATATAACTACGGATCGTCGTCGGGTCAAAAAAAAAAAAAAAGATGAAATAAAAATTAAGACATCTACTAGGTGCATACTGCATACTGCAAGGCGTTCGCATTGTAAACCTATTCGGTACCAGAACTGGTCATCAAATTAAACATAATAATAACTATTAATTAATGAAATTATCATTTATTGTGTGACCTCAAAAAAAAAAAAATTTAATAATTTATAACATACGTTTTTGAGGTCTATATTCTTGGTGGATTAACATGACCGTATTCAGCATACTTTTTCTGGGAAGGATGCAGGTTTAATTTAAGATTTACCATGACTGAAAACAAAACAGTTGTTTGGAATTGGGTTGAACCCTTATGACGGCCATGTGTTTTAAGTCTACAGGCTAGGGGCCACAGGTACTGTATAGTGTACACTGTACACACAAAACCGAAATAATATTATAGTATACTATACGGTTATATAAAAAACTGGTACTAATTTTATGCGGTGTGACTAGTCTGGGAATTTTTTAGATGGCCTGATAGCCGAAGTCCGCACCTATATTGTTAACTGTTCACCTTAAAATTTTTTATACTTTAAAGTACCTTGTAAAAAAATGTATAAATTATATTACGTTGTTAAGATAATAAGTATCTAGAAACCTAGGAGACGAAATTTACCGGATGGTCTGTATCAGAATGACTATCTCCTGACCAGAGTTTAATTCCCACCATGCCTCTACGAGTGTATTAATAATCGTGGAAGTGTAAATAGCTGATGAATAATAATTTTGGCGGCTAAGCCGAGAGATGAAGACGGTTCCGGTGCGAACGCCGCTTTACAATTTGGTGGATGAGACTGTGGAGTATAAATATGTATATATATTTTTTATGTATATATGTATAATATCATTATAGTGGTAGTAGTGGCGAGCATTGTTGAAATAGCGAGGCGGCGGCAGCGGCGGCGGCGGTTGTGTTGATGTCATTGTTGTCGCCCGGTGTTTTTTCGACGGGCGGCGGCGCAACCTTGGACGGGGACTCGGCGAGGTAGCGGCGGCGGCGGCGGCTGACTGGGTTTTTGTTTTCCCAATGTATAGACGGAAAACATTATTTTGTTGATCGAAACCCGGTGCGCATGCGCCGCGGCAACAACGCACCGCGACCAGCAGATGTTCACTAAACATTGTTTTATAACGTGAACTAAACCCAAGGTCGCTGCAGTTTGCCATCAACCATTAGCCCATTCAAACGCGCGTTTTACCATCATCTTGATACTATTGTACTTACCACACGTTTATTATTCCAACATCAACAACATAGCCGGCAACATCACCGTTGTCGCCGACGCCGCCTCGATAGCCGTTACACGCTCGCGTCTCCCTCTCTTTTACATGCCCTCCCCTTAATATTTTACCATCGCTTTTTATTAATTTTATTACCAACGCCGTTCAACTGTATCTTCGTCTTTTATGTGTGTTCGTTTTTTAACGCATAAAACCAAAATCGACCAGTCCGTTCCGTAATCCGGCCCCCCCTCTCCCAAAGGTTTGTTTTTTTTTCTAACCCCGAGTCGACCGACGTTCGGTCGTAGGAGGGCCGCAACAGTGCCGCAATGGAATGGTACCGCGAACAGACCATTCAGCTGATCGACTTGTTCCGGGCTCGGCCGGCCCTGTGGGACACCAGTTCCGTGCACTATCGGAACAAGCGGATGAAGAATGAGGCGCTGGAGCAGATCAGCGCCAAACTCAAGTGTCCGAAAGAGGAGGTGGCCAAGAAGATCTGCACGCTCAGGGTGCAGTTCAGCCGCGAAAATGTCAAGGTGAAGCGAGCCCGTGAAGCCGGTACCATGTACAACCCCAAATGGTTCGGCTATCAGTTGCTGTGCTTCCTCAACGACCAGTCGCGGTACTCGCTGGGATCTGCCGGCGGCGTGCCGAACTACGCGGCCGCCGTCGCAGCCGTCCACGCTGCTGCCGCCGCCGCCGCAGCCGCTCAGAACGTGAGTATGAAATATTATTCTATCAGCCGCAGACCCGCAGGGATGACGGCGCGCGCCCGACGGAACGTGCGACGCGCGTTGTTTTTTTTATTTATCGCTTTGCACAGCTGCGGCCTGCGTAGTCCTCGTGCATTATACGCAGCGCGTGCGTCGACGTTGCATCCGAATTACGTTTCACTCCTTAGACATTACTCGTGCCGACTATTTTTGTCTGACCGACGCAAGTTTCTCTCTTATTATTCTACTCTTGTGGCGGGTTATGGTTTGCACTGCACCCCCCTCCGCCCCCCGAAAAGGCCCTCTTGTTACTCTTCCTTTAATGTATATTTAGGTGGGGAAATTAAGTTGCTCGTGCTACCTGCTAAGTGTCCACTTCTTATTTCTTAGGTTTTATTAATATAATTTTATATAAAACCACTTGGTATACAACGAAATGGTTTAAAAAGCAATAACCGATTAAATGTCTATAAAAAAAACTTACAAATGCTAACTTGGTGTATTATAATTTTTCATAGCAAAGTTATAATTACCACACAGTTTATCGATCTTCAAAAAACATACTTAATGATGTCAAATGAAACTATTTCTCCACTTTTAATTTTAAAGTGAAAGAATTAGTCAATTGACCATATTTAAATCTAATTTGTAAAAAAAAATGATGAAAAAATATTATTTACTTTACACATCAACGATAAAATACATATTTTAGCATTAATAAAAATATTAGGATAGTACGTACGATGGTGAGGAAAATGGGAATGCTCTAACATTTTTTAACGCCCTCAAAATCGCGCCTGATAAGAAGATAGCTAAAATTTGTATTCGCTGAAAATACCAAATTTTATTTAGGAGTAAAGGACAGTTGGTGTATATTTTAGTGTTTTGTTTAGTAGGAAGGAATGATTCATTAGCGAAATAAAGGAAAAGGTTTTTACTTTTGAAGAAAAGGCAGAAGACTTAAATGAAAAATATCCCGCCATGATAACTTGATTGACTAATAAAGCCGCATGACCAGGCTTTTATAAAGATTTATTTATATTTTTAATGACGTTTTATCTTAATACATGAAATTTGAATACGATTATATTACTTATTAGTTATTAAACAACACAAATTAGTGTTTATTTTTCCCGTTTGAATTAGTATAACATACTCTATGAATCAAATTCAAATATATAAAACTAGTTTGTGTTTATCATATCTTGTTTTTTTTTTGTTTTAATGTTCATAATTACGTTGAAATTGAATAAAATCAATAAAATTATTATCAACTATTAATTACAATAGCACGTTGTAAAATAATGCCGCACTAAAATCGATATCTATGTGCTCAACTATGATTTAAATAAAATAATATTTAAATTTTCAAATAAAATAAAATCTACTAATGCAGTAAAGTAGCTTTATGTTCAACACAAGATCTAAGGTCAGTCAACCTCTCCCTCCAAACTTCGCATTGTCCGTCGCCTTCTCAGTGATCGTCTCGTACATGTCTCCATTAGCACGTCTGTCCGTTTGTTGTAATTCGGTTTACCTCTACTATTAACTCCTATTTCTCTTTATTTGACCCTAAAATCGTATTGATGATCTTTATTTGATTTATTTGATTATTATATAATAATCTTTGTCTGACCTTCTCTTAACACATTTCAATACATTTCAGCATAGCCTTTAGTAGGTAACATAAAGCCTTTTGCCATTTTAGCCTATAGATTAGATTAGTTTTGCATACTACTCGTCACGTTCGTTTCCTCAATTCTTTTACACAACTGATACCATATATGAGTTGACTCTCTCGGATTAATAAATAACATAAATAACATTAGCCTGTATAACAAGAGAGAGGTCGACTCTCTAATGTGCCCCGGTTAACCGGTGTATTCGTTGTATGTTAATATGGGAATCGCCATTTTCGTTGCAGATTTTTTTTTTTACATTGGGCCAAATGGGAATTGAACACAAATTGCGACCCTTGTGAAGTCGTGATAAGACCGGTTGGCCACTCTCTGATTTCAGGTAGCCTCTCTAATATTATTGAAAAAAATGTCCTCAACAAAAATAAAACAACCAGTTACACGATGTTTTATTCGGGTAATAGTTATGATTTAATTGTTGTATCCCCTGCAGGAATAGCTTGACAATTTGAGTTAGAGTAGGATACCCTCCACCCCCCCCCCCACCCCTTCCCCGTTTGTGCGCCACTGACAACGTCAATCACAACAATAAGACGTCTCTACATGGGCAACAACAACCGGAAAAGATGACTACAACATTACAGAAACATTCTATTGTAGCAATTTTCAGTTGTTGTTGTTGTTGCTCGCACGCAAAAATATGGCTGCTTCGAACTTTTAGACGACTTTCACCAACAAAACGCACGTCAAAGTGTTTTTTTTTTAATTAAAGTCGTAGCGGCAGATATTTGTGTGTACCTACATATGATTTGCATGTATTTTTTTTTTTATATTTGTTTAGTCAACGATGGCGTTTCACAAACGTACACGACAAAGATACACTACAATCTAATATGCCTATACTGATTTTAGCGTCCCAAAAAAATATTAATACGATTTCACCGTGTACATCGTTATTGTGTTGTAATTCCACAAACTGTTATTACGTTTAATAACTCGTTTATTTCGAAATCGTTTTTATGTAGTTTTCGAAATAATAATTTTCGAATTTATCTACTGTTTTACTGCTGGTAACGTTTAAAACGAAACCAATTTTTATAAACCACACTCGCTCCGCATAATTGTCAAAAAAAAAAAAAATCAATTATCCTATACAATAATTGCGATAACCAGGAATGATGTGTCGAAAATGCACATCCTATTTTCCTGTTTTTTTTTCTTCCCCAATGACGTTGGGCGCAAAATAATCACGGTCCACCTAATAACAATGATGTAAAAATACAATAAAAAATTATTATGTAGCATTTTGTGTGTTCATACAAAAGTCAAAAGTCGACGGCGTCGCCCGTGACAACTTATATTATTCCATTTTCAACATTAACATAATATCATTACACGGGGAATCCGTTTGATTACCATTATATATATTATACTTTTTTTTTTTTTGGAAAGGGGAGAGTTTTTAGAGTCGTAATTTTAAATGTGATAAGATGATGTCGCTCAAAAAAATTGCTTCAGTCTTCGCACGTGCAATTATTCATTAGCATACACGAAAAATGTACTACACGTTTCTGCGATCACCCTGTAAAAATGTCTCGATGCGCTTCGCGTGCGCGATGAACGTTTTTCTTTAAAAGCTAAATCGTGTAATGCAATGTTAACGCCGAAGTAATTCGATTTTAGGGTACTGCCATAGAAAATTATAGATTTTTAATAGATTTTTTGAACTTAATTCAAAACTGAATTTGGACGGTCTAATTATTGTATAATCTTACTTCAGTTGATACATATGTATACACTCGATTAATACACTGACATATTTATGCATATTATATTTTAAGTGCTTTAGTGAAGTTTTTAATTATTTATTAACGATTCACTTTTTATCAGTAAAACGGCATTATTATTATTGACAAACGTACTAATATTTTTGATAATTTCAATTATTTTTAAATATTACAAACGTCTTGGTGTAAAATACTTAATTAATTTCACTGCAATAATATTGTACACCGAAAAAATATACAGTTGGTTCAACTATAATTTTATGGTTAATGTGGGCACACAATAAATGTATAGTTGCAATAAATAAATAAATAGTTAAGCCAACTAAATATACCTAGTTGCTAATATTTCTTTAAACTATACATTTTTTTCCGCGTAGGATTTTTTTTTTCATACTCGAGTTGTACAAACAACTAAGCCTGATAGAGACAACCCGAGTTCAGATTTGAATTCATCCCATAAGTACAAATATGCACTTGGAAATTAACGAAGTAAGCTCGGCCAACCAAATGTTATGGTCGCAACGCGGTGCGATTTATTTGATTAACTTAATTGGTTATTAATTATTGTCGCCCCGCACCAGTTGTGTCACACCACCCAGAACTTATGAGACGGCGGAATGTTTAAAACTAATAGTAGGCGTTCGAGTGTTTATTAATTTCAACTGATTTAGTCCAAGTCCAACAGCGGATCCCTAGGCCTGTACAGATAGTGATTTTCATAAGTAAATCTCAATGTACGAAAACCACATGTTGACGAAACGTGTTATAAATTCGGTTTATTGATTTTTGTAAATGCGTTTTTAATTATTTTTTATTGTTGATACTATGTTGTACCGCGTATTTTTTTTTTTGTAATGCTACTGCTAGTGGCTAATATATTAATATAGTAGTAATCGACGTTTGTTATGGTATAATCTGCTCGTTCGTTTGGATAAACTAAAAATATAATTATAACGCATACATTTTTTTGGGGCCCTACAAAATTTTGAACAGGGCCACACAATAATATTAATCATTGTTGGTCGGACCGGCACACATTGTCGCTGTACGTTATTCGAATGCAAATAAAAATATATATATTTTCCTCTCGCTCTAACGTTTGCCTGTGCATGATTTATGGTAATTTGTATTTTTTTTTTTTTTTTGTTAAATACCAACCTTGGCCAACAAATATAATAAACATTCGCGATACAATATACGTCACACCGTGAGCACGTTAATTTTTGCCATACAATTTGAACTCGTTTGGAAATGGCAAAAAAAAAAACAACTTGTAATTCTCAACTCGACTATAATAATATTATTATAGAAGGTGTAACGTTTATGTTTATTGTTGTCATCTATCTCGCGTTGAATCTCAAGTATTTTCAATGATCCGACATACTAAAAACATCAAGTGATTAAATACTACAGTCTTCCCCTTTTTTTTTGGAAAACATTTTTCGATAGATCGAACTTTTTTTAAAACATTACTCCCAGTAAAATCGTTTCTTTTACTTTTTTTACCAAATTTTATAATGTCCAATTGTTTTTGTTGCCAGCCGACCATAGATTTGACAAAAAAAGTCTTAAGCCAGAT